CAGGCGTTGCCTTTGCATTTGAGGTGTTGCCAGGATATATGTGAGCTCCAGCTTCCTGTCTGCAGCTTCTTCATGACAGGATATCTGGCGCTGGGCTTCGAGTTTGCAGTAGAACTGACGTTTCCTGAATCAGAGGGAACATCATCTGGACTTCTGAACGCTTCGTCTCAGGTAACCTGGTGGATCCTGGAGACATGGGTCTTATTCATGGCACATAAGGTTCTAAATGTTTTCTCTTTTCAGGTTTTTGGAATCATTTTCACCATCTGCCAGGGGAAGATAATTGATGCCTGGGGAACATTTGCTGGGAACATCTTTCTGTGTATTTTCCTACTAATAGGAACAATAATTACAGGTGACCAATGAGTGTGCAGCACACATATTGTACACAGAACAACCTCCAATTCAAACAAATGCTTAAATAAACTTCATATTTCAGCGTTGTCCCCACAGTCCCGGAAGTAAACATCCCGGATGTAAATGTTTGAATTGAAACTGTCTCCCTCTGGTGGAGGGATGTAAAATAACATGTTCGAAGGCTGGATTTTGTAACACATTTTATCGACGTCTCAATTAAGTATAAAACGAATAGTAGTAGTTATGTTTGTTAAACACAGGAAAAATATATATATTTACACATTTCTGAATCTATTGAATCGAACTGAGAAAGAGACAGGAGCTAATCAATTTTTTTCTGTTAACGACTTAAAATACTTTAAATAATAAAGTCACAAACAGAACACCCCTGAGGGTAAGTCAACACATTATGAGAAAGATTTTATTTTTTCAGAAGATATAACTAAGATACTGTCTACAACAGCTTCAATTAACTCACAGTATACTCACTAAGGGTTAATCCTGGGTATGTTTAGATGGCAGAGGTTTGTATAGCCTTGTGCTGCCACCTGGTGGGAGAGTATTAAATGTCCCTGCCTGTGACTAATGATTTAAGTATATTTTCTTTTCCTTTCCTCTCTGTTGATCATAGCATTCATCAAGTCCGACCTCAGAAGGCAGAAGGCCAACGAGAGGACGGACGCCCGGGCAGTGAGTGTAAGTACATCTGTGTGTGTGTGTTTGTGTGTGCTGCCTGAAGGCGGGAAACTCCTATCCTCCTGGAGGTGCTGGCTGCCGCTGTGTCCTTGGGCATGACTCTGCTCACTCACTGCCTTTTTGCAGCAAAAAGCTCAATGCACGGCTGCATTCAAGAGAATGCCGGGGGTTTGAACTGCAGCTTTTGGGGAAATCGGCAGTGGTGACCTGGTGGTAAAGGAAGCGGACTTCGGTCCGGAAGGCCCCAGGTTCGAATCCACCAACTGCCAGGTTACCACTGAGATGCACTGAGCATGGCATCGTCCTCAAGCACTGCTCCCCGGGCGCTGACCACGGCTGCCCACTGTTCACTTTGGTGATGGGTTAAATGCAGAGGTTAAATTTCGTTGTGCATGGTGTGCTGTGCTGTGCTGTGTCACAATGACAAATAAAGATAAGTTAAATCTCCTAGAAACTCCTTACTTTCACATGCTGATACTCTGTCGGTCTGCGGGAACTTTTCACATCAACCCAAACTTGATTCAGACATCTGGCAAACAAAACATGTCTCTGTATAGTATCTATGAGGTGGCGCTTTGGCCCAGAGGCAATGTCTCTGTCATTGGTGTGGAACCCCAATGACCCCCTTGACCCCCTCCTGGGCAAGTTCGAATCCCGGTTAGGGCGGTTGGAACCTTCCAGTGGACTCACCACCCACAGGAAGGTTTGGTACGGTGCAATGTGATTTGGGTGGCGACTGCTACCCCCGCGACCCGGTAACGGATAAGCGGAATAAAATAAATTTATAGATCACTGTTTTAATGAGGCAATAACACAAGAATCATCTGCAAATATACTGTAGATAAAAAAAGCATTTGCCGTCAAACATACAGTAGAAAACACTAAACAAGGCTAACACTACAAAAACACTGAAAAATCACTGAAACATAAAGAACAAGCACCAATTTAATCATCAATTATTATCATTAATGGCACATGTTTACTGAATGTGAAATGTGCCATTAATTGCCCTTTTGCCCTCTCTACATTGCATGGCTTCACATCTGTTGCCTTTTCAATAAAAACAGAGACTTCAGTATTTCTGCTGTTTTCCATTTTTGCTTTTTAAAATGTGGTTGCTGTTGTTACAGAAATTGTGGTTCTTGAGTCAGGTGTGGCAGAAAAGAACATGAGTAAGGTGTGGAGTCGCTAGTCAGTGTGACCGATCGGATAAGGGAAAGTTTTTGAGTAGGATTAATTTTACTTTATGTTTTCAGTTGAGTCTAAATAAATAGAGGTAATTTGGAAACTAGCTCTGTATGAGGACAGTCAGGAGTGGCAGAAAAGAATGTGAGTGGTGGAGGACAGCTGTGAGCCTTTGCACTTTAGGGAAATACTTTTAATGTTTAAGAAATAGGCATTTGCTGCTGTTTGAACTTGAGTTGTAACTTTAGAAAGTATTTGTATGAAGTAGTAACTGAAATGTTAACCACAATGTCTACTATTGTACTTTGCAGTACTGTACTGTACCACACTGTATTTCAGTTCAGTTGAATGTAGATACACAACAAGGTTAATATGGTTTGATGTGTGCTGAGAAGAGATAGTGAATACTTTTAGATGAAGTATTTGGTGATTGGTGTAACGGTGAGAAAGCTTGGACTTGCCGTGTCATGGAAACAGGTTTCTTGTTCATTGTGTTTCACTTTTACCTTGCTCAAAGGCTCTTAGGCAGACAGTGTTAGTTGGAGTCTAGTTTGGAAACAGCAGTCTTTCAGTCCTTTAACTCCCCAGCCATTGTTCCAGCCCACAGGGTCTCTGGCCTCGGCACAGGATTATGGGGCCACAGCAAACAGCGGCCCCTGTCAGGTACAGCATCGACGTACATCTGCAACCTCAGTTACAAAAGAACAAAAAGAATCACAACTGCAGAGATACACACACACACACACACACACACACACACACACACAAGATTATTCACTATTGAATTAATAAGAAAATATAATGATCATGATTAATTAATTAATGTTCCTTTATACCGTATTTTCAGGACTATAAGTCACTCCAAAGTAGAAGTCACACCAGTCAAAAAAAATGCACAATGAAGAAGAAAAAAAACATATATGAGTCGCTTTGATGTTGCACCAGTGCCCTCAAGCGGCTGTCGGTGTGAACACATTGACGTGTAAATTTTCAGAGGTACAAGAGTAGCTGGTACAGGTACACAAGCCTAGAGTGCCCTCTAGCGGCTGTGAGAATAATAAATGTGAAATTAAAACTTTTCCATGACACAGCCCCCCCTAGTGAAAATATAAATTATGAGAAATTCTAGCATCAAAATAATATCTATGTATTTTTGTATGTGTTGAAATTCCAGTGTCTTCATTGAAACTTTGATAAAGGTGTTAATTGTATATTAATGTCTGATGTTTCAGAAAATGACAGAAGATGTGGAAAGAACTACATTGTCACCCGAAGTCCTCAAGGAGAGGAAGTTCTAAGGTGGACAGACGATCCTTCACCAAGAACTGGTGCAAACATCAGGTCCACGTGTCCGACAGTCTGTGAGTTTTCACTCTGTGACCTGCAGAACGTCGTGGAACACACACTCTTCAGCGTAATGTGAAATAAGAGGATATCAACCCTGCACACAGGGGGCACTCTAATAACCTGAGAGGTTGTCACGTCCTCACCTGAACTGTTAATATTTCACATGTACCAGTGCAATCACTTTGAGTCACACCAGCATATACAGTATGTCTCTTCACATTTTTATTGTGCTTCTGTTTAAATTAAATTTTTAAAGAGCCATATTGAAATAAACTTATTGAGAGTTTTTAACTTCTTCACATTTTTATTGTCTGTTTAAAATAAATTTTTAAAGAGCCATATTGAAATACTTTAAGTATTTCCTCCTGGTGGACCAATACTGTAGTAGTACTAGTTACCTCAATTTGTCTTTAGTGTGCTGTTTTTAATATGTAATTTAAATGCGTACTTGAGTGACGTTTTAAAAATGCTATCTAGCAGGATGTTCACACGTCATCTGATATCTGCTGCACATATACAATACTTGTACAGTACTGGACAATATGCAGTACCAGAACTCATGTTTAAATGTTCTGGAAATATCTGAAATTAATGTTATATACATTAATATTTGGGGGCTTTTATGTAAAACCTGACTGCAAAACCTGACTGTAATTTAGCTAACCATACGTAGCACTCTTAGAAAACAAAGAAAAACCTGTCATTTTGCACAATGAATCCTTCAAAGTTTAGAAAACCTGGCGTTAACCACAATCTACCACTAGTTGTCTCATGTGCACCAAAGGTTTTACATGCTGTAAAATTATATTTATGGGAAATACATTTTTGTAACACTTGACTAATAAAAATAAAACACATTCATCAACTATTATAAAATCGAAAGTGTGTAAGAATTAGATTTATTATTCACCCATGCTGTGTGTGATAATTAAGGTATTTATTCTTTTAATGTGACGAACATATAAAACAGTTCGATCCATGGTGACTCTTCTAATGTGGATCAAATAACCGTGTCTACCACAAGAGGGAGCCCAAGCCCAGTGGTGCTTGTTTGAGAACTACTGACATACAATCCCAGAACATCAGCTTAAACACCAACAACCAAGCCACTAAAATCTACTATTTTGACCCAGATCTGGTCCAATGGTTTTACTTCACTGTTTCATCTTCTGAGATCAGAACAGAAATGTGCATTGATTGACCTAATAATATGGCTAATTCACAACATTTAACCTTTTTTTTATGAGTTTTTAGAGTAAAAGAAAAACTAAAACAGCCCAAAACAAACACTTTTATACATACTCTATTCTATTAAATTATATTTATATATTTTACTTTATAATTGTATCATCACGTGTAAATTGTAAACAAACAAACAAAACAAACAAAAAAACACAAAACAGGACATACTGTTGTAAAGTTTATCCAGTATTTTATGTTTAATTATAAAAGTTTCACATTAGAAAAAAATTGACAGCTCACTCATAATCTCTGGTTCTTCAGGTCAAACTACAGCAAAATACAGACCAGGTCCACTTTTTTTCGTATGTGCCGTGTAGTGAGTTCAATTCAGCCAAACAGGAACAGAAATACAATAAAAACCGTCAGTTACGTTTCTTCTGCCGCGCCCCTAGCTCCTCTGAGGTCTCTGGGAAACACTGGAGTCCAATCAACATCCCTATGATCGAGAAACCTACAAAAACAAAGAGACGTATGAGGTTTGATTGACGCACAGACATATTTCAAACCAAAGTAAGTACTTACTGGCCACAATAAGAGGCGCCATCACCCCGATAGTTAAAGGTGCAGTTTTATAAATGAAGGCTTCAGACAAGAAGTGACCCAAGGCCAGCACGAACGTCCACAAGGTGATGTGATACAGCCTGGAGAAACAACAATAACAACAAGAAATAATTATTAATATTAATAAAGTATATACTGTACGCAGGAGGTGATGAGTTCTGCCTCACGTTCTGTTCTGGATGTCGATGGCACAGGCACAGCGAATGATGGACGACAGCAACGTCCAAATACCAAATGTCCGAGCTTGGAGTCCGTTCACTGAGGAAACAGGAAAGATGAATCAAGTTTTGTTGCTGCAGTCTTAAAGGCGTAGTCTCACAAATCAGTGCTGTAGTTCCCACTAGAGAATTAGCTTTTTCTCTGTCTACCTTATTCTTCCTATATGCCAGAAGTCTCAAACTCCTGGCCCTGGGGCTCCTCAGATGAGACGTCAAAACCGGCCCTGGGGCTCTTTATGGACGTCAAAACCTCTCATCTGGCCCGCAACTAGCAACTGCTTTATTTCGTCATTTGAAAACAAAAAAATAAATAAAAATGTGTACTCGCTGTTTAAAAAGTATTAATACACAATATTTATATAAAAGAAAAATTACTAAAAAATGTATTTTTTAAGAAATGGTGGTCTAGTTTAGAGGATTATTTTATTATATAAAATGATTATTATAATTATTATAACATCATGTGTGGTGTGTGCCCTGAATGTTTCGTAGTTTTGTGCAGCAGGTTGGGCGGAGCTACTCTGTAGTCTGACATCCTGATCTTCACACACCTGCAGCTCATCTCTTTGATTTCCAGCTTCTACTTCCTGCTGCCTTTGACCTGCTCTTCACCTCCATCTGCCTCAGCTCCATGTACGCCAGGCCGCGTCTGCTTCACTGTGCATTCGTCAGATGTCATCTTTATGAGTTAAGTATATAGTCACTCTTCCTCACCAAACTCTGGCATGCCTGTGTAGAGTTTCTCTGACAGAAAACTGTGATCTCTGAAACTCTGCACGGTGTTTCCCATGGCGATGACCGACACCATCACCAACCAGCTCCTCAACACGTTCAGAAAACGACGCATCCTTTCCGGTGGAGGCTCCTGTCAGAGGTCAAAAAGGTCAGGAGTTTTCTGTGCATTAATAGCTTTCAGGATTATATTCATATTACATTATAGTCGTATATATTCAAATTAATATTGCAATATAATTGCTAAGAAATAATTAATTAACAATAATGCTAAATATCCATATTAACAATAATCCTAAATATCCATATAGTAAAAAATATGTGAATGAGTGAGAGACAAACTGTAGGCAATTCAAGGAGCGAGTAGAAAAAAGGCCACACGTACGATACGCACGTAGTATACATACCATGTCATTTATACGTATCAATAATTAAATACTTGAAAACCTGCACACATTTGTTTATTAATAAAGTCCGTGACGTCACAGAACTAGCTCATTCAACCAGCAGCACCTCGGTAACTACGGTACTCAGTAATGACAGTTCTGTAGCAGGCTAACATTGCTGTAAAATGGGTCATACATCATTCATAAATGTACTTTGATAAAGTACACAGATAAAGGTACAAGTACTTACCCTTCGCTGTCCACCAGGCGAGAGAAAAACAGCACAACGCGACGTAAAAAGGACTATAGGACAACACAGTGGTGCGTTCTGAATGGTAAAATCGCACAACCTTAAACAAAAAAATTGGCCAATAGGAGAGGTCCATGGTGGCTCTATCGAGTCGAACCATTACTATGAGTGGTCATATGTAACCTAGAAACCCGCCTTCTTTTAGCTGTTGACCAATAGAAACGAGTATTTCTGTCACCTGTAGTGTTTAAGCTAGGGTTCACGTGAACAAAGAGTAGGTATGTAGCAAGATAGTTATGCCAGTAAAACTATGTGGTCGTCCCATTTTGGTTCCGTTTCAAATATTTCTTGTTATTCCAAATAAGATACATATTTAATTGTTTATATACACATATTTAAATTCATTTTTTGAACTACCTTATTTTAAGCGTCAACCCTTTACTTACTGAAACAATTTCAATCTGCGTTTTCATTCTGCGGTGTTTTTGCAGTGTTTTTCATTCCCTTGAGTTAGTTTATTATAATTATTAACTGAGTGAACGCTGTTGTAAAATGAAAATAGTGTTGTCCAGTAATGCGCATGCTCCCTGCTCTGTTGCTACTCAGTTGTTGTAGTAACCAGGAAGATTAGACGTGATGATCCAGTGTTCTGGTGTCGGCTAAGCTAGGTTTTAGCAGCCTCTTAAGAAAAGGACTGGTTCGTTTATTTATGATTTATATTTGATTTGCACTGTCGCAGCCATCACGTAGTCACCATTGAGCGTGCACTTAGCTAGCTAGCTTTGTTTGTAAATTAGAATACAAATGTTAAGGCTATTACACAGTTTGTGTGGATATAACTCCTAATGTTCTATTAGCGCAAAAGGTAAGACAACAAAGATAATTCCGCTGTTAACAGAGCCACGAAATAGCTAATTGTAAGTGCTTACTGTGAGACAGAGGCTCAGATATTACACACTAACAGTTATAACGTAGATATTGTGGCATTTTAACGGAATGATCTCAGATTAGCTTCGGTCGAGGTGTTTTTTTTTACTGTCTTCGATTGATTATATCAATCAATTAATTAATTTCATTTGATTCAAGGATTAAGATGCAATGTTTAAACCAAGGCTCCTAATCCCGAGAAGATTTGAACTTTACTGCAGCGAAGATGCCAGCAGTGATCCGGGATAAGGACGACGCTGAGACCTCCTCAGAGGAGGAGCAGGAGTAAGTACAAGTAGTCTGCAGTGGTTAATTAATTTATTTAGTTTTTTCTTTCTTTTTTTTTCATTTTACGGTGGAATAGCACAAAAGCTCTGTGGGAAATACACAAACACATCTTCCGGCTGAAATGACAGTAATTCTAAATTCTAAAGGGTTCGATTCCAGACTAGGTAACATGTCACCCCCATGTTGATGTCAGAACCTGTGGTGTAATTTGTAACCGAGAAAAATCGTAATCGATGGTGATCGAACACTGAAAAAGAACAACAAAAGAACAGAGCATTTACTTGAGCAGGATTTTTTTTTATTTTTAAAGACTGACTGAAAAATGAAATAACTTAGAAGAGAAAAAATGTATTTCCAGCTTATCTCTTCTGAAGCTTAGCGTCACAACAATACACACACATTTTATTGAAATAATTACCTTGTATACCAGTGATAAACAACTGGTGGCATGCAGGCCGAATCCAGCCCATCTAGCCGCTCAATCTGGCCCCCGACTGGATTCCAAAACAACCATCAAGTAATAACGTTGAACAAAAATGTGATTTCTATATCATTTTATTTGACCTTGGGGGTCGGACGCTCAAATACATTTGCATTTGCATTACTAAACTAATGCTAACTTTACACTGTTATGCTAGAAATGTTCCGTGGATTTTGGCGGGTTCATGTGTCTAAAACCTAAAGATACTTTGGTTTGTTTACAGACAGGATCCCAGTCAAAATAAGCAACTGAGAAACGAGAGCATTTTGTTTTAATTCACTTAACGTTTTTGTCATCATTAAAAAAGGTTTTGATTTGATCTGTGATTGATTAGTTGTCCCTTATACGCCCAGCCTTCATCTTTATTGATAAAATCAGTAAATATTGCGAGTGTGTAAACATATTCTTTTACTTCTTTTGGGAAAATTAATACAATATTGAATTTAATTGTTAAAAGTTAAAAATATTTTGTTACCACAGAATGAGTGTAATATTCGGATTATTAGCAGATCTTTTCCGTAAAATTTGCAATAATTCACCATCGTGTGTAACTCATTACTTTCAATGGGAATTGAGAGATTGACAATATGTAAATTCACCACCAGATGACGCTAAATCCCTAACTCCGTGTCTTTACACTCAGTGTGAAGATCAAGATCTCCACATCTTGACTTGACGGTTTTGTATCTCGACGGTTTTGTTGGAGATTTGTGTTGTTTTTATATCAAAGTGCAGCCGTCTGTCAACTCTTTACAGCCGATAGAAATCACATCCGCGGTTCAGCCTGACAAACCTGGACGGTGAAGCAAAGAGCGGTCGGTTGTTTACGTGCTTCCCTCCTCCCTTATCAAGAGCCGCTGTGCCTGATTGAGCTCCTCTCCCCTCACCGTGCTCCTGGTCTTATCTCGGCTTCAGCTGTGAGCAGGCTGAGTCAGGTTCTATCTGATGATCTGCACTTTTTTTTACAAGGTTGTAGTGTTAGTGCGTGGGTTTGTTATTGTCCAGCACCGCCTGATGTGTGTGTGTGGTTCTGTCCTTATCTGCCCGTCTCATATAAACACTGTGTCAGGAATTAAATTCCCTCCGCATTAGGTAAAGGAGCAGGAGTTCGAATCACCAGGGAATAAATGTCAAAGATAATGGGCAGAGAAAGGAGCCCTGGAGTTCATCTCTGTCACATGACTGGTGACTGCGAACGAGTCCGCTGTTTAGTCAACAGATAATTCTAGGGATCTCCGATAATATCGGACGACAATATTATCTGCCTGATATTAGCATAAAATGTAATCTGTAAGAATGTTAACGACTTTGTTATCGGATAATGAAAAAACAATAACGCGATACCTTGGGTTTAGCCAAATGATGTGTGCTGACGGCTGTATATTAAAATGTCACTAGATGGCAGCATTGCAGCTCATTTAAATTATCTCATACTCGTACAGTGGTTTGTACAGATAAATAAATAAATACTACCAGGCCTGTATCGGTAGCGGTTGATATTGGAATCGGAAATGAAGTGTTTGGACGATATCAGCATATAGGATATCGGCAAAAAGTTAATATCCGATATCCTTAGATAATTTAATCCCTAAGTGCTCCTGTCTAAATTGAAGATATCTCAAAAATCTTTCTTTCTCTGCTTATCTCCTTAAAGCCACCAGCCGTGCATCTCATGGAGTGGTGTGAGCAGGACCATCCCAGTTCTTATCTTCTTCCCCGAAGCTGTTGTTTCCAAAGAGGAGAATTTCTGCTCGGTCGGAGGTTTGTCAAAGCTGAGAGGAATAAAAAGAAAAAAAAAAGCCCAGGTAGATAACAAATAAATATTTTTAACGTTTCAAAATGTGTTTCGTTTGCTTAGAGAGATGCAACATGGCCTTCAAGATTGTTCGCACGGAGAGCCGCCTGGTACGAGGGATACTGAGCAACCATGGATTCCGTGAGGTGATTTGAAAACACACGCCAGGGGGAAAAAAATCAACACGGAATGAGCTTTTGGTTTAATTTCAATTCATCCTGACTCCTACTAACAAATCATCAGAGGCAGACAAGTATTGTTTACAGAGCCTTAAAGAGTCTTTATTACAAACAACCGCCTCTGCTGGAATGGATAAATGCTGAAAGTGTTAGAGTAAAACAGAACCAGAGAACGTGGAGAGGTGGAGGTCTGCGCCGAGAGGAGCAGAGGAATGAGAGACGGTCGAGAGAGAGTTAGAGAGTTAGAGAGAGAGAGAGATCATCATATCAAGTGACTGATTCATTTGTAGAAATAATTTGTTGAAATAATAATGAAGGCAGGGTCACACATGGTTCCCAAAGTGGGGTGCGGGGTTATGGCAGGGGTACGTATCAGGTCAAATGAATATGATTTCATTTTTTTTCATTGTGCCACTGTAGGAAAAGTGTTTTGTGTTTTATTTATTTATTTTTTATGATGTGTTTTAAATGAAGGTTGGTGGGCGTCTGAATCAATAGTTCTGTACGGGTTGACATTTGGGTGAGGGAGGGGGAGGGTTGACAGTAGTCCTGCCTATAAGAGGGGTGTCAAAGTAATGGTCTGGGAACCACTTGGTTCGATTCCCGCTCCTCCTGTGTTGAGTTCTCTCCATGTTTTTCTGTTGGTTTGTCCAAATACTGCGCCATCTTGGACCAGTCCAAAGTACACAAATACAAATGGAGTACGGGGTAAATTGGATTGACCCTAGGGTTGAGGGTGAGAGTGAGCGGTGATGGAGAAGTGAACTGTTCATGGTGTTCTCCACCCTCACCCAATTACTGCTGGGATTGGCTCCAGCTCCGCCCATGACCCTAAAAGGACTTAAACGGTAGAAGATGAATGAAAGTAACTGAGGCGATGACGATGGAAGTGGTTTGGAAACGAGCTGAGAAGAGAGGTTAATTTTGGACCAATTACACTGGCGATGAATCTTCCAGGGCAGCAGCAACAGGGGACGACCCCTGAGGAGACTCCTGGGTGTAGTTAGGAGGAGAGGAAGAAGAAAAACAATTTTTAGTACTTCTAATTCTGTTCCAGGTTTGAGTTCATGGTTGTGGTGACTTTTCAGGTTCACCCCAACAGTAACGACTTCAACCTCATGTGGACGGGGTCTCACCTCAAGCCTTACATCCTGCGCAGTCTTCACGACTTCCAGAAAGTCAACCACTTTCCCAGGTATGACGGAGTGTGTGAGTGTGTGTGAGTTATAAATATCTGCGCTCAGTCATTCAGAGTCCTCCAGTTCAGGCCCTGTGTTTGTTGGCCTCCACTGCAAAAAGCATTTAGTTTGGACTAGTGCCTCTGCTGAACACAAGATGAATCACCGCGTCACAGGTCGTTATTCCAGCACCCGGTGACTGTGGCGTTGAGTGTTTTCAACCGGAGGTTTCTTCCCTTTTCCAGGTCGTATGAATTGACCAGAAAAGACCGTCTCTATAAAAACATCCAGCGGATGCAGCAGACTTATGGCTTCAAAAACTTCCACATTGTTCCCCAGACCTTTGTGCTTCCCTCGGAGTACCAGGAGTTCTGCAGTAAGACGCCGCCCATCTACCGCTCCTTTAGATTTTTGTTCATTTTTACCACAGAGTATTTGCTTTTCAACATTTCTTTTTTTTTCCCGCCTCAATCTCAGATTGTTTTGCCAAAGACCGCGGCCCGTGGATCATAAAACCAGTAGCATCTTCACGGGGCCGAGGCATCTACTTGGTCAGCAACGTGAGTATCGTCGCGATTTTATGACTAATAATAACTTAAGATAACATAAGATAAAAGTAAAGTGGCTAACATATTGATCCTTCTTAACATCAACAAACTGCTGAATCGGCATAACGTTCCTAAGTGTTTGGACGATTTTTCAGTTTGTTTGTAAATAAGTTAAAAAGGAAAAAGAAATGAGAAAAAAACTTCTAGGTTTATAGAGAATCATTAACCATCACAAATGTTATATCAAACTATTTAAAATAGGGCTGTCAAGAGATTAATCACGTTTACTGATTAATCGCGATTAATATCTGCCTGATACTGAAAGAGAAATGGAGAAGTAGCAAAAACCGCAGCGACATCTTCCACATTGGTCAGACATTGAATATACTGTATTTACAGGTATATCAGTATATAGTGACAGTTCACTAAAATGAGAGCGAAATACATTTTGGAAAAACATGTCTGATTTCTCGCATCAATTTTAGTCAGAATTCATGCTCGTACCGTTTGAATTTGTATTAATTATTTGTAATATATTGATATTTTAATGTGTATTGTATTCTCTCTATATCTGTGTTATCTACTGTATATAAATAGTGGTTATCATATCTGCCTTACACTCACAAGGTACCGGGTTCTATGCCCAGGGGAACCACATAGTTAATGGCGCTTCTGTTGTGTTTTTAATTGATACAGGAAGTTCACGTTTTTTACATTATTTGAATATTATACGTTTAGTTACCTTCGAGAAAATGTCAGTTTTACATTTTATTACCTGCCTGCTATTATCTTTTTTAGATATTGACCAAAATTTTCAGGATTAGGATTTTTTTATTTCCATAAACGAGCAGTATCAGTTTTAAGGACGCTCCGGGATATGACATTTTTGCCGTTAGGATTCCCTACAGTCACTGACAAAGAGGAGAAGATGAGTAAAAAAAAAAGCAGTTTTTTTTTTCCGGTTATTTTCTTTGAAAACACGAGACAGTTGGAAAGAATAATCCACAGCCATTAAAGAGTGAGCTTCCTTTGGATGGTTCTTTTTTAGCACTGATTGGAAACTCGGGGAAACGGGAAACTCTCGGAGCAAACCTCTCCGAAGGTTTCCACGTGTTTTCTGTCTTGATTCACACGTAAGCACAGATTCACGTTAACGTGTGACCTGATGGAAGTTGAGTGTCTGCAGACGAACTTCACTGAAGCAGCGGACTGAGCAGATGTTGCTGCTGTGCATCTGTGGGAGAAAAAAAACAGAGAAAAAACAAACATCCATCATCATTATTTTCAGGCGTTAATTGGCTGTTAGGAGTAAACCGTAGCCCTTCAGTGTTTTTTGGAAGACCTCGACACAATCCCTACTGTTGGAAAACATGTGCACGGTTCTGACTTCTTCTTCTTGGGAATTTTTATGAAACAGTGGAAAGAATGTCGGAGTGATATTTGGAGAGAGAAAAAGAAATACGTCCTTTTTCTCCTTGGGTTTGGATTTTCTCTGAACTGCAGCCAGCGCTGAGGTTTCACTCCATCTCTCCCACGCCTCACTCTCCCATCTCTGCTCCCCTTCACCACCTGCAACACATTTCAACCCCATAAACGACCCATCTCCCACCACCCGGCAGATCGTGTTTTTTTACGCGCCGCTGTTATTTCAGCTTGACCTGCTGTGACCAATGACGAGGCTTCCCCCCCAACACTTCGCTCCTCTGGCGTTTTCTGGCTAAATTGAAATTCAACTCATCCTGTTTGTGACCATGTGCTGCTCTGTTCCGTTTACAGCCAAATCAGATTTCGATGGATGAAAACATCTTGGTTTCACGCTACATCAACAACCCACTCCTCATAGATGGTGAGTGGCTGCAGACGCAGCTCCTTCAAAGTCTTTTTGGCAAATAAGAACGAGGGGGTGAAAAAAAAAATCCAAATCATTTTGTTTTGTGTCCAGAGTTCAAGTTTGACGTGCGTTTGTACGTGTTGGTAACATCATACGATCCGCTCATCATCTACGTGTACGAGGAGGGCCTCGCGAGGTGAGTGGACTCGGCGTTTAAACGCATCGACCTGAAAATCTGCTCAAGATGTTTTTCCCTCATCCACTAATATAATCCATATTTATCCTGAACCTCATCTTGCAACATCTTACAAACACATTACAGACACACACACACACACACACACACACACACACACACCCAGTGCAGTGCAGAGACAGACCCAGTTCATCTCTGAGGAGTTCACAGGACACATTTTAGAAAAGTGACACAATAGATGATTTTCTATTAGAGACAGTTGCATCAAAATAAATCAATATTTTTCTCATCAACTCATGTCACGCTGCTTTCACGGACCCCGGGTTTCAACACCCGCAGCCTGTCGTCGGTTGTTACGTTGCCAGTGTTTTAGTTGAACTGCTGCAGGGCGTGTGATACACCCTGGTCTGAGAGGGTGAGGTTGGAGGGTGGGGGTGAGGGTGAGGTCTTTTTCACACTATTAAAACTGGCCAGAGCTGATGACAACAGCGCCTCCTTTACACTTTAAGCAACAACTGCAAATATTTTTAATTGACCGAAGAAGGATAAATCAAAAAGGACTTGGAAAAAATAAAAAATCTGCATTTTATTTATACTTGATTTATTATCATGGTGAAAAAATCCAGTTGTTTAAGATAGTGTGTTTTCTCAGTAATTTTGATCAATTTCTAGACATTTCATTTGACCCCATTGACTTCCAGTTTACCCCATGTGGGGTCGTGAAGTCCTGCGAGTGCTGTTTCCGTCAGAGAACTCTGTGTTCTTAGCACCAGGTCGTTTCTTGGCGTCGTCCAAGAACTTTAAATCCATGTTTCCTTCCAATGTTCTTTCAATTTGGGGGGAAAATTTCAATCAAAACCTGTCGCAAAGCTTCAATAATTTCAACAAGTGTTTGTTCCAGTTTCGGTCAGATTTCTTGACAAAGATACGATCAAACTTGTCAACGCTGTTGGAGAGTCCGGTTATTAAAATCAGACAGGAATCGAAACATATTAGAACTTTTTGGATGTCTAATCATATACTTTTTTAATTAATTATAATGCGATTAATGAACTGATCGCGATTAAAAATTTAATCGTTGCCCGCCACTAGGTGTTTTTTATGTAACTGTCAAAGATTTAACAACCTTTACCTTTAAAAATCTTTTAATTAAACTTTTTTTAGGGAGATCAGTATCTAACAACCTTTACCTTTAAAAATCAATTAAATTAATTAAACTTTTTTTAGGGAGATCAGGTAAAAAAAAATTCAAAACTGAATGAAGATCACACAAGTCTCAGGGAAGAAAAAATACATTTCAAACTAAGGTGAAACCAGATGATCATAAATGTGCTGTAGAAAAATAAGACATTACAAACAGAGAAAAAAGAAAATTCAATTTAAGGAAAGTATTTGTACTCTTCACTTACACGGTGCCTGATAATCAGGACTCCAAATGTCCTGAGGGATTTGAAATCTGTGAGCCTTATGGTGTTGTTGGACTGTGGTTCTCAGACCAGGGTGTGTTCAGCGTTTCACCTGTGTATCTGAGTGACGTCGTCCTCGCTGAGCAGGGACTGGTACTGTTTTTTCAACTTAATGTCTTGATTTATGGTGGTTGAGGAACCAGACTTGTGTCTGGAAGGTCGCAGGTTCGAATCCACCGGACGTTGTCCCCACAAACTGCTTGAGTTTGAGCAGGCCTCTGCTCACTAAGGTGATTGGTTAAAGCAGTACTTCTCAAATAGTGGGGCGGGCCCCCGAGGGAGGGCGCGGTGAAGTGCCGAGGGGGCGTGAGTGGCTTCCAATGGAATATGACACGCTGGACATAAGTGTACCACTTCTGTAATACTTGAATGATAACAAGCCTCCAGTCACTAGGTGGCAGCAACTCATACATTGGTTTGTACAGATAAAAATATTCATGTTATCAGGTTCTCAATAGTATTTCAATTGGTGGAGGTGAAAACATTTCTGTCCTCAAGAGGGAGCATGACAGAAAATAATTAAGAACCACCGGGTTGAAGGTAACGGTCACAATTCTTTAGTGTCACGATGACAAAAAACTTTCAGAAGTCGTTTGAAAATCATTTATAAATAAATAAGTTGACCCAGATAATCAGTCAAACGCAATTAATGTCACTTGCCACGTGACCAACGTTACTGGTCACAACATGGGTCAGTGGTAATGACTCACCAACGGCGGTGTTCCTCCGGTGTCCACAAGAGGGCGGCCTTAACATTCCGTGCCAACTCCTCCTCTCGCGGTAACTGCCTTTGAAACAAAGCCCTCTATTGTTTCAGCTGGAGAAGTTGCTCATCAAATGTTGCTGATTGTCTCGCTGTTCCAAGATGATATCCTGTGATAACCCCCGTGTGAATACAATACGTCCATTAATCTGACGCAGTAACTCGGGGCCCAGAGAGTGTTTTTCTAACGCAGGAACAGATTTAGCTTTTTCCGCAGACACTTGTAATTGGGGAGAGGTGAGATGATTTATCGGACTGCTGGCTCTCGTCCTCGCTCCGGTGATGTGGTATGCGCTGGAATCCCGGTGCCACCTCCCTGGCTCGATTATCACCTGGCAACAATAAATCATGGCCAAATCCTGAATATCACTTCTATCTCCTGACACTCCTCCAGGCTTGTGTTGGTATTCAGGTGCAGGGCCGGACGCCAAGGAATGCTCATTACTGCACATGTGGCATCCACCTCTGACTGCAACACACGCCGGGAGGTGATCGCTGTCAGAGTCGACTCGTTCGGCCGGGCGACAGCCTCATCGGTGCTGTCATTAGATATCAGACGAACATCTAATGCAGGGGTGCCCAACCCCTGGCCCGGGGACCGGTGCCGGTCCGTAGGTCCTTTGGTATGGGTCCGCAGTGGAACACAGTGAAAGAATGTACTCCAGTTTTACTGATTTACTTTATTCCAAAAAGAATCCAACAACAGGTCATTCAGACTCTATTATTTTGAAAATATAATGATCCTTCAACGATGGCCAACCAGTCCGTGGTACAAAAAAGGTTGGAGTCCACTGAGGTACTGGAACTGTTGGATCACACCCCAGAACTTTTTTTTTTTTCTTGTCTCGTTGCAGGTTCGCCACAGTAAAGTACGACCGCACCTCGAAGAGCATCAAGAACACGTTCATGCACCTCACCAACTACAGCCTGAACAAAAAGAGCAGCGACTATGTCAGGTGAGCCTCACCTCCGCCTCCACCGCCGCCGCTGTCGTCGACCACAGGGCCGACTGCGGCGCCCCCCGGTGACTCATCTGCTCATCCTGAGCCCAGTGTTTGAAGTGCTTTTTTTTTTTTTTCTCCTTTTCAGCTGCGATGACCCTGAAGTTGAGGATTATGGGAACAAGTGGAGCATGAGTGCAGTGTTGAGGTATTTGAGACAGGAAGGGAAGGACACCACATGTGAGTCAAAGTTTCACCTTCTCCTTATGGTTTTAATCTCCAGGCACAGATGATGGACGTGGAGTTGACTCTGTTCACTGCTCGTCCTCTTTCATCTCGCCGCCTTTTGTCTGTTTAGTAACCAAAACAAAACACAAAAATGCACATGACTTATTTGGAGCCTGATTGTTGGTTTCAGTGCTGATGAGGCAGGTGGAGGACCTCATCGTCAAAGCCCTGCTGAGTGCAGAGCTGCAAATCGCCACCGCCTGCAAGATGTTCGTCCCTCACAAGACAAACTGCTTTGGTAATTTATTTATACTTCTCTGCGGTGATTAGTCATTTACTGCGTACTGAATGAATAACTGATCGAGTGTTGAAGTAACTCAGGTCTCAAACCCAAATTACAGCATGTCAGGATGGATTACAGTCTAGAGCTGCACAAAAATAGAAAACAGAGTCCGGTGGAAATGTGTTTTTTCTATTGTACATTTACACACATCCAATCAGAAACGTAGAGGAAGTTAAGGACTGTTTTGGTGCAAGATTTGCCAAAAACTTTGACACATGATGTTAACAATGTTAACTAGAGGTCTTCGATATTAACTTTTTACCGATATCCTATGTGCCGAGATTAGCCAGACACTTGATTTCCGTTTCCGATATCAACCGTTACAGATACAGACCTGGTAGTATTTATTTATTTATCTCAGACCTGGTAGTATTTATCTGTACAAACCACTGTACAAGTATGAGATTAATTAAATGAACTGCAATGCTGCCATCTAGTGACTTTCACTTTCATATACAGCTGTTTATCCCCAACACTATTTTTAGGGCACACATCATTTGGCGAAACCCAGTTATCAGTTATCTGTTTTTTATTATTGGAGGAAAAACAAATTACGGTTCTTACATATATTACATAATATGCTAATATCGGGCCGATAATATTGGTCGGCCGATATATCTAATCAGGTCTAATCTAGTATAATCCAAACAATTTTCAATACAAACTGTGAGCATGGCTTGCAAGCTAGCATTTTACTATGACAGCAAAGGCATCACTGCCATTGACTGAATCGATCAGATTCAGACCACTCAGTGTAATAACTATATTATTATTATAATAATATTTAATTACCAAACTGTTTTGAACATGAGCAGTCCATATTGGGGAGTGAGCGAGGTTGCGGGTTCAAATCCGGCGAAATCCTGATTCCTAGGTTGAGTTGCTTCAGGAAGTGGCTTCCTGTCAATTAAATTAAATTAATTTGTGGCCCACACCGTGGTGATGAACATGAAAATTCCAAGAACTAACAGTAGGGGGTCAGAATACAACAGCCTGGGGCTTCAGGCTATGGTCTAAATCAGAGGCCTCTGATTCAAATGGAGTGGGGGGGGCATTGATGCCCCTACAATATACTGCCATCTAGTTGCAGGCTGCATGTGGGTGGTTTGTGGCCCAAAAGTGGCCCACGTGCCAGGTGTTTGTCAACCATGATCTAAAGTTTGCACTTTGGAATGTTCCGTTTGCTCAGTGGACCATAGGTAGAGATGTGAGTGAATGGATGTTTGTGTGTCTCTGTGGCCCTGGTGGTGGACTGGAGGACTGTCCATCCACACCACCCTCCGTCTGATGATTACTGGGATTAGCTCCAGCAACCGCCGACCCTGAAAATGACTAATCTGTAGGAGACGAATGAATGAAAAACAGACGGAGGAAAACTCCTCGCTCGTTTTCAGCGTCACAAAACGGTCGCTTCTTTTCCTCGCGGCGCAGGTTCAAACGCCCCCCGCCCCTTAGATTTCCGTTCAGCTTCAAATCAATGCAGTCTTCTTCATCCTGTCTGTGTCTGTGTGCAGGAGTTAGCCTCTCTGCCGGTCTGAGTCAGGCAAACCTGAAAACGGCGACTGCTTTCTTGGCTGCTGCTCCCTGGTGGTGGGTTTGCGTGAAGTCCATTATCCGTGTTAGTCTTGGCCCTGATGGTTTCGCTCCTTGTCTGTGTCTCTCAGTGAGAGTTGGACTTCGATGGTGAGCTTTCTGGTCGAACCCTCCCCTCTCTCCCCTCTCTCTCCCCCCTCGGCAACCGCTGTCTCTTTCTCACTTTCTTTTATTTATTTTTTTCCCTCTCTCGCCGGGTCTGTTTGTTTATAACTCGCCCACTGTTGCTCACCCTCTGTCTCACCCGCTCCTCGTCAGATGTTGGGAAAATAAAGGGGTTTGCAGTTGTGACAGGCTCCTGTAGACATAATACCCCCCCCACCCCCTCCTCTCCCCCAACCAATCTACTG